GTATGTTTATCAATAAAAGTCCTAACTTGAAACATTTCGCAATCTTTTATCCTCTTTGCAATCATACGCCACGTACAGTTTTTGTCAATCATACACCTTGTTTCGAAACGATCTTTGCTTGATTTGTTAACTTTTAGTTGATAGCCATCTTCCACACATTTCGTATACAAAGCTATCTTCAAGTCTTCCTTTGTATAAAAAATATCATCTTTCTTGATACGAATAACTTTTGTGTAACAATCAACTGCTTTCTTTGCCAACTTTTCTTCCGGTAGCTGAAGTAATTCTGGCATATTCCAGTTATACTCTCGTGGCATTTTCTTTTCTTCGGGGACTTTTTCTTCTTCTTTTTCTTCTTCAGGATTATATGAATTACAGAATGGATGTTCAACATGTTCATTCACAGTCGTAACTTCCTCCTCATTATCATCAACAACATCTTTCTCGGCAACGGGTGTTTCATCATCACAATTCGAGTATTGACCAATATCAAAATCATTACACGCAGGGTCTGTTTCTTCTTCTGAAACATCATCAAAATCCGAGTATTGACCAATATCAAAGTCCGGGTCTTGACCAAGATCAAATTTCGAATACTGACTAGTACTCACAATTTTTTCTCTTGGCTCATCATCGTCTAATTGGTCAATACGAAAACCGGAATTTGGTGCTGAAAGTTTATTTGGATTTGGATTAGAGAAAGGTTGTGGGTTTTGAGACCCACTTAGTTGATTACTACCCGCTACTGACCCAACAATACTACTTCTAGGTTCAACAACATACAATGTAACATCATTACTTGAAACATTAATGTAAGCAATGAATTGTTCAACATCTTCATTGTCGGTTAACAAATAAACTTTACCATTTCTCTGATAAGATAACCTAAATCCACTTAGGGGCTCTAAATTCAATTTCTTTGAAACACGTAACATTAGAGTTTCATAAGTTAACTTTTTTAATGACAGTTTTAGTTGAAGATTCATGGGTAAAGGCATATATTGTAAAACACCATGAACATTCTCCCATGACCCTCCAAAACACAAATCTATCCAAACATGATCAACATTAGATGATTTCATGGTTGTAAATTAATTTACTAAACAAACGAGATGCGAAACTAAGACCTGTTGCCGGATGGGGAAGGATGTCGTTGGATATATGAACGGATGTCGCTGGAGAGAGTAATAGATGGAGATGGAATGAGTTGCGATTTAGGGATTTAGGTTATGAGTTGTTGCTGCTGCGTAGATATATACACAAAAAATTTGGCTTGCGAAACTAAAACCTGTTGCGAACTTTGAAACTCGTATTGCGATTCTGTATTATCTCGTTGCGAAAGTCAGAATCGCGTTGCGAAAGGTAATCATTTGACCATCGCAATGCGAAATGCAAATCACAACGATATAATCGCAATGCGAAATGAAAAAGGCAACGAGAGAATCGTAATGCGAAATGAAAATCGTAACGAGGGAATCGCAAAGCGAAAATTAAAATCGCAACGCGATTTTAGTTTCGCGTTGCGATTTAGTTTCGTGTTGCGATTTTGTCGTTGCGATTTTCATTTCGCATTGCGATTCTATCATTGCGATTTTCTTTTCGCATTGCGATTCTCTTGTTGCGATAGTCAGTTTCGTGTTGCGACAGTCTGTTTTACCTTCAACATAATACAGATTGAAAATCAACAAATCAACTATTACATTTCAAGCAATTAAACAAGCACAAATAAGAATTATGTACACATCAATTAAACAAATGAACATTTACAAATCATTTTTTACAAATCAATTAAACAATCAAAAAATAATAATAAGAAAACTGCATTTCACGAATCTTTTTTGCACCCGTACATCCATTTCACGCAGCTCACTTAACAAATCGCATTGCGATTTTCATTTCGCGTTGCGATTTTGTCGTTGTGATTTCATTTTGCATTGCAATTTTGTCGTTGCGATTTTCATTTCGCATTGCGATAGCCATTTCCGCGTTGTGATAGTCATTTTCGTGTTGCGAAAGTAAACTATTCTTCTTCTGCAAATTGAAACTTGAATGGATTGCATTACTTCAACCAAAAGACAAAAACAAAACCAAAAACAAATACTAACAAAAATAGTTTAGCAGTATTGGCAGCAACCGAATGAATTACGAGTATGAAAAATCTTAAACTTACCTCGTTGCGTAGAGTATGAACCTCATTCTGCAACGATGCTACCATCTCACGTAGAGCGGCTACCTCACCGCGTAATGTAGACACCTCAACACGCCATGCACCATCGTCTTTGCGTAAAGTACCGACCTCCTCACGCAAGGCATTGACCTCATCACGTAACTCCCTTAACTCATCCCGTTGAGGTGGAGGTGGAGAACAGGGAGATAAACGTCGTGGCATCTTTGCCGGTCGCCTATCTTGCGGTGATGGTGGAGAAGAGGCTCGATGATGTGACAGAATAGGTGATGGCTGTCGTTGTGGAGGTGTATAGCCGGGTCGATCAGATGATGGCTCTGGGTGAGGTAATAGCTCTAGGCGAGGTGATGGCTCTCGAAGTGGAGGCTGCTCATCAACCGTTCCATCAAAAAAACGCTTACTAGCTTGCCACCAATCAGTGGCAAGCTCAGCTTCCGTGGGTGTCAGCCTCTGTAGAGGAGTGTTGGCCTCCTAACAATATAAAAGCTCAAACAAAGTTAAACGTGTACTAGTAATAACTTGTTTATAAACATATGGTAGTATTTATGTTAACTTACATTATTTATTGTCGTATACCATAGTAAATCTTCCCATTGCAAGGTCCGTTTCCTGTTCCAGGAAATAGCCCTGGGAATATTATTTGAAGTTTTTATTGCATATGTCTTCATGGCGGGAAAGGCCTCAAATATCCAAATCTACAAACAATATAATAACAAACATTAATAATTGTTAAATAATTACTTATAATTTTGGAAACATTATATAAAAATTCTTACCTTAAAGGCCCAAATAAAGCCTGTCAAAGTGTATTTGGAACCATCGCCATGCAAACTTTTTCTATCATCCAAGATAGACGATAACTTATTCCATGTAGCTTTCCATAAATACGAGCCCCACGGAAACAGGTTCCACGCATTTAGGTCTTCTACCAATTTGATTAGATCATTTGGAATAGGTTGTCTGGCCTCTCTGCCTAAAAAGCCGGCATGCAAAAGAATTAGAAGGCATACTAGGACAACGTCGACGTCATCCATCCGAGTAAAACCATCTTTCTTATTCAACAATCTTGTCATGTCTTCTACGTGTAGATTCGACCTCTCCAACTCAAGAAAAACCCGGGATAGCCATGATGGGCGGGTAATGTGTCTAGTGTACCGACCTACATCATCGTGTCCGAAGCGTAGACCGGTGATTAAGCAAAACTCCTCCCGCCCAAAACACGTATACGCCGGTGGAAAATCAAACCATATCTCTTCATCACGACGTTGTATAGTCTCTGGTAGATCGCTAGTCATGGTTTGAAGAAACAGGTGTGTCAACATCGCATCTCCACCGGGATGTTGTACTTTCAGCCATGGCCCGAAGCATGTATCCTCAAACATTTTTCTTTGTGCAGGTGAAAGCTTTGACTCAATTGTTTTGGCCAGGCTGACTTTATTTCTTAAGGTCAATTGAGCCGAATAAAAGTTCTACAATAACAATAAACATACTAAGTTAGATATACCAAAAAACTACACTGTGAAGATATACCAAAAACAATAATAAACATAAAGAGTAGTAGTTTATTCTTCAAACTTAAATTTGCAACACTGTGAATTTCGTATTTGTCTTTGTTTTTTGGTTGAAGTAATGCAATTCATTCAAGTTTCAATTTGCAGAAGAAGAATAGTTTCTGAAAATGAAAATCGCAACACGAAAATGACTATCGCAACGCGAATTTGACTATCGCAACGAGAGAATCGCAACGTGAAACTAAAATCGCGTTGCGATTTGCATTTCGTGTTGCGATTCTCGGTTGATTTAATAAGCAATCTAAGTGAAATGGTTAATCTATTATTGAAATTACCAGTAAACTTATCATCAATTTCAATATGAAAAACCTAATAATAATGCAAAAATTTCAAAAAAGAAAATAATTAAAAAAACTAACCCTCGTTGGTTGATTTGGTTGATTTTCCATTTCTGATTGTGAGGGTGGCTCTGAGAGATGGAGATAGACGGATTTCGCCGGAGATGGGGACGGATTTCGTCAGAGATGGGTGAGAGAGTGAGAGATGGAGATGGGACTGAGTTGTGATTTTAGGTTTTAGGTTATGAGTTGCGATTACGGGATATACTGTGGACGGTTCAGTGTTCCAATATATTAATATTCGTGTTTGGAATTTAAAAATAAAATACTTGGCCAGGATACTAATGGCGCTTTGAAAATCGCATTGCGATTATGTATTATCGCGTTGCGAAAGTCAGAATCGCGTTGCGAAAGTCAGTATCTCGTTGCGATTTTGTATTATCGCATTGCGATTTTCCCAATTCGCATTGCGATTTACTTATTCGCATTGCGAATTGGGAAAATCGCAACGACACTGTAAACCATCGCAACGCGATTTTCAACTATCGCAACGCGAAATGCAACGCGAATTTGCGATAATGGAGATCGCGTTGCGAATTAGCGATCACATTGCGATTTTGTTGGTCATTTTGGCAAATCCGAAAAAAATTGGTTAAAATCGTATATTATATGAGAATTTTGGTCACTGAGGCGATTTTCTCTTATTATAAATAAATTTTCAGATGGTTATACACTACTCAATACTCATGGTGTAAATAAATTGTTAACGTAAATAATTAAAATATTATTTTAAAATTTAATAATCAAAATGAGAAGAAACACAAACGAAAGTAACCTTACCTTTAGTTTACCCAAAAATATTATTAAAAAAAATGCCAAAAACAAATATGACATTGTTATCCATATCTGTGCGTCTAGGCATAAATGGATGCCACATAATTATATCACGTGAACACCCTTTTACTGCTACCCACACAATCCAAAAGAACCTCTGGAACTTTGAAGAGACTCGGAATTTGTTAACTCCATAGCAAGATGGAGATGACTGCTCAATCTTTGTCTTCTGCAAAGCTCCCCGCCTGCTCACCTTCCTTCCTTCATTCAAAACCCATTCTTTCTTCATCATATTTGGTGATCCCTTTACAGTCCTCCAAGAATTACAGTGCTCAGCTAAAATTCCATAGAATCAGATTAAAGAAACAAAGGAATCTTGGTGTCATTTATGCTTCTGAAACTCAAAGCAATACCGTATCAGATGTAGCTGATAGATGGCTTCTTGAACCTGCAGGTCAGTGTTTTTATGCGTCAAAATCTTCTGGTTTTGGTTTCTGGACCTCGGATGCTTGTTTAAGAAGTCGCAATCATTTTTTTATGAATCAGGTGATGGAGATTGGAAACACATTGGATTTAAGGTCCAGATGCCAGATGCCTTTGAGATTGCTTCTGTAAGTAAAAATAATACCGTTGTCACAGTCATTGTTCTATATTTGCATTGAAAATATCATTATGGATAGGGGATGATAAAATCCGTTTTGATTCGAAAAATCGATTATATTCTACCAGTATTTCACATATTCGATTCGGAAAAAAGTTGAAATAATGTTTAAATCTTAAAATAGACCTCGTCAATTCAATGACTCGATTGAATAATCATGGATGGATTTTGTAGAGTGAAGTCACTGTTGGCCGTGTCCCTGATAAGGCAGATGTGGTGATTCCAGTTGCAACAGGTATTGTCCTTAAAGAAAAACACACTAGACTTGGATGCAAAAATGTTTCCTGGTAGTAAAGAGTATCTGTTTTCGATCATTAACAATGCATATATCCGTTACAGTATCGGGAGTTCATGCTCGGATTCAGAAGAAAGGAGGGAATCTTCTGGTGACAGACTTGGATAGTACCAACGGGACCTTCATAAATGACCAGAGGCTAAGACCCGGAGTTGTTTCCGAGGTGCCACCGGGTGGTTTTCTTATATTCGGTAAATACACCGACCTCGAGTTCAATCGAGAAATAAACATCTTCGTAGTAAATACATACCCGTATCTAACACTCGTATCGAATCGATGTCTGGAAACGGATATCAAAACGAGGGGATCGATTGCTTTAGCCAACCATTGACATCCCTCTACAAAATGGTTCTTTTGTTGGTGCAGGGGACACTCATTTGGCAATGTTTCGTGTCTCAAAGCTTGAGAATGTTGAGAGTACTGAAAGCAAACCAGAGGAATCGGATGATAAATTGGAGAGTAACACTGCAACCGAGGAAACTGCAACAGACTAAAAAATTGCAGGATTTTGTCGCTGAGGCATTTATAAAGTTATCATGTAGGCGAATCTGCTATGTCATTTGTCCAAAAATCTAAAACATGCGTACCAACCAACAATTTTCCCATCGTTAAGCTATGCTCAGGATTTTGTTAAACTGTTGTTGCATTCTCATCTCTTCTCTTGCAAGAATATAGTTTCCCATTGTCAAATTAATAGAAGAAACAAGAATGGAAAGAATGAATTGTTTATTGAACAAAAGCTAATTACAATAGAGCCCTAGCAGCAGGTTATATAGCAGTCTCTAAACCATGCAGTTAACAAAACAAAATAACCAATCTACAACCACCTACCATCTATACCAATCAGGTTACACCACGTGTAACATCAACTGTCATCACTTATTATTCACAACATTTCCTTTACTTTTCCCTTCTCCTTCAACTAGACAAATATTAACCTTCTCTCTGAACAACTCGAAAGCAGGTTTGGATAATGGTTTGTTTAACCCATTTGCTGCTTGGTGACATGCAGGTACATAGCTCTCGTTGAGTTGCTTCGCAGCAACTTTCTCAAGGACAAAATGAATATTGAGATTCACATGATTCGCGCTCATAACGATTGTCCCTGTATATCACACCAAATGGTTGGTTGTTCATTCTGAACAACACTGAGATCAGCTAACAAAGCATTGATCCAGGTTACTTCTGCAGTTGCGTCAGCCAAACTTCGATACTCGGCTCGACATTGATTTTTGTTTCTTCGAATTCCACGATACCAAGTTGCCTCATACAAAAACACAATACCCCGACATTGATCATCGATCATCGATGCTTCCACCCCAATCAGTATCAGCAAAAGCTTGAATATTCGCTCTATACCCTAATACTTAAAATAGTAAACCATAGTTAAGTTTACCTGCCAAGTATCTCAAAATCTTTTTGACAACTAGAAGATGCATTTCACAAGGAGCGTGCATGAAGCTACCTTGTTCACAGTAAACGTGATATCATGTCAAGTATGACAAACATAGAGTAGACTGTGAAACTCATGAGCATCATCGAGTGGCTTCCTAGCTTATTGAGAAAACTTGGAGGACACTACCATGTGATACATGCACCACAAGGCTCACATCAAAGGAAGATGGACTAACGCTTCCAACTGATCCACATCGAGCAACAGACTTACGACTACTTTTTGAATGGGATCCTAATATTATTTGGTCAACATGTCTTCTATAATTACGATCGGTTGTCTCTTATCTTTCCAACAATTTTTGAGTCGCATCAATCCGATATCTGAAACTCAAGATATAGTCAATTTAGTGAAGACAATGCATGTAGAAATTACTATACAAGATTAATACGAGATTTTGTAATTATTACAAATTTTCAATATTTTTATTGATTATTTGTAATATAATTTAATATAGGATGATGCATTATCTTTTGGAATTAGATTTATTATTCTATTAAGAATTAAGATCGAGTTAAAATATTATTCTTAGTTTATTATTATATATTAGGAATTAGAATTAGAACATGCTTATTTTATCATTATTTTTATTCATTAACTATTTAGGACTTTTAGAACTCATCTCCTGTATAAAGGTGGCTTCATTCAACTTTGTAATCACATTTTTTCTTGAATACAATACATGAGAGTTTATCTTTGCAAGTGTTGATTACTTGTGCCTTTAAAGCTTCTTTTCATTAAGTTCTTTTCAAGTTCTTTGTGAGAGAGATCTTCATACTCCGTGAGTTTTCATTGTGATTAGGATGGCTGGTTAGAGCCATTTATCAAATTTGTCTTTTCATTGCGACTACGAGGGTTGGATAAGACAGTTATCCATATATTTCCACCATATCCATCATAAACCCTAATTTGGCTAAGTCATTCTATCTTTATCAATAATTTATTTTATGTTAATCTTCTTTATCTTTATTTATATTTATTATCTTAATCTTTATTCTTGGTTAGCCAGCAACCCTTATCTCTACATTATCCATCTTCCACAACTCCATCATCTTCTTCTTTCATTCAAATCCTTATGTTTTCTTCATCGAGTCTAAAGCTTTCTAGATTTGATTCCTCAACAAGAGCAACAATCATTCATCTGATGTCACATCTCTATCATTATGGGAGTCAAAGTAGGTGTCACTTTTGCGTTGTGTCTTGTCAATAAGTTCTGAAATGAATTTTCTCTAACTAATTAAGCATGAGTGCACCATTACACCAAGTGACTTCTATCCCTAAGAGATAACTAAGTTCACCAAGATCCTTTAAAGAGAAAACATTGCTCAACTTCTTTATAACTTCTTCAATCTCCATAGTTGATTCCCCGTAATAACGATGTCATCAACATAAATAAGGATATATGTACACACACCATCCCGATTTTGAACAAACAAAGAACAATATGCTCTAGACTCATGAAACCCCATTTTCAACGAACTTTCCTTCAACTTGACATTCCAGTTTCGATGTGCTTGACATAAACCATAGAGAGCTTTTTGAAGCTTGCACACCAACGGAGTTTCATCAGGAGCACATTGTTCAAACCTTAGAGGTTCCATCATACAAATATCCTCATACAAACCACCATTCAAGAATGCGTTATTCACATCTACTTAACGTAAAACTTACTTCTTCTCAATAAGAGATATAATCACATTCAAAGTGACAAACTTTACTAAGGGCTGAATGTATCTTGAAAATCCATTGTACCATTCGCTGCCAAACGTGCCTTGTATCGCTGTACTATACCGTCTGGATTCCTCTTTAACTTAAAAAGCCACTTACAGCTAACAAGCATTCTCCCTCCTTGTAACTTGACTAACGTCCATGTACCATTCTTATAAAGAGCAGGAAGTTCGTCTTGAACAGCCGTCCCCCAGGCACTTGACGTCATCTCTTCTTGTATATCTGCAGGGAGCTTATCATCAAAATGAGTTATGAAGATTTTTTATTTGTAAACATTGCATTTGCTCCTAGTTAACATTGGGTGTTGATTCTTGTTCATCAACCCATCATCCTGGTACTGACCATGAGCGAACCATTATTAGCAGCCCAACCGATTGATTTGTATCATGAGAATTGTGCTCAGGTGAAGATGAGCGAGAAATATGCTTAACTGAAGAAGAACTAGAATTATGTTCAGCTGAAGAAGACTCATTATTGGACAGAGAACTAGGCGCAACATTACCACCATTGGACAGATAAGGACTATGAATTGATTTTCTGGGTAAATAATGCAAACTAGACCCAGGGGACAAAGCAGTGCCGGCATCTAGAACGGAAGACGATAAGGTCACCATAGTACTAAGATCACATGACTTGAAAAGATCAACCACTATCTATATAACCTGTGACTTTTGCCTATGACTAGAAGCTGGAACATTTGACTACACATCTCTAAAAGGAAAATTCAACTCATCAAATATAACATGTCTCGAAATACAAATACACCCATCCGAAGCAAGACATTGAAACCCATTATGTTGCAGACTATAGCCTAGAAATGTGCACGCTTGAGACCTGAACATCATCATATGTTGCCGAAACGGCCTCAAGTGTGGAAAACAACGACAACCAAATACTCTCATTGAGTTGTAATAGAGTTTCTTATCATATAGCTTCTCAAAGGGAGACACCGTATTCAAGACCCTTGTTGGTAGTCTATTGATAAGATGCACAGTCGTTGTGACTGCAAATGGCTAGAACCGTATAGGTAGGGAAGCTTGAGCTAGTAAAACAAGGGCTAGCTAAACCAAATGTCGATGTTTGTGTTCCACCACACCATTCTACTCTGGCGTGTGAGGACAAAAAGCATGATGCACAATCCTTGCTTCAAGTAGCTCACTGGACAAACTCTTATTTTCCCCACCCTAGTCACTTTGGATGGCTTTAATCGGTAGACCAAACTAAGTTGCCATAAATTGCTAAAACAACCAAAAAGTATTAAACGCTTGGTAAATGTAAATTGATGGAATTGCAAACACTCTTTAAAGTATTGAAAGAAGAATGACCTAGTCGCTTGTGCCAAAGCTTATATTGACTTAAAGATACTAACTTTATTTTAGCCTTATTACAAGTATTATCTCCTCAATCCATATCAAAAGTGTATAGACCATTATGTTGTTTGCCTTCAAGAAGAATTGCACCAGTAGTTTCATCACGAACAAAGTAAGCACTCGCATGGAACTCAAGGAACACGTGATTATCCCTAGCAAGCTTTGACACTGAGCAAACTTTTAGTTATTTTAGGGACATGCAATAGCTCATTGAGTAACAAAGCTTGAGAGGATGATTTTAACATAGATTTATTAATAACCCCAAGAGATACACCATTACCTAATATTAGATTACATGGGCTACTAAAATCCGTTGGTTGCACCACATTAGCAGCATTAGGTGTCACATGGTGAGTGGCCCATGAGTCCACCACCCAGTGATCATAAGGGACAGAAGCAACATGAGCTTGAGGATGACTAGTCTGAGCAATAGAATCATTATTAAAGCAACAATATGCACATTCATCAATATCTCGTGAGGCATAATGAACATTTGCAGAATTATCCGTAACCCAAGACTTATCGTAACTAACACAAGAAAAATCCTGATCAAATCAATACCAGCATCTATAAACTAAGTGGCCAGTTTTATCACACAACTGACATTGCAACGTGGGCGCCATCGACCAAGGCCACCTGACCGCTCTCAGGGTGAATAATAGAGATATGGCTTGTGGTTAGGAGCTGTGTGTGTTTCATAAGAACCTTACCCCTGTTGGTAATGCTCAATCCCACATAGTGTTGGAAACACTATTGGGAATGGTATTTAAGGCTTGACATTCCACTTCCTTGTTGAGTGATAGAGAACAAGGGGGGGCTCTCGCGCACCGCCGCCGCCGTCCGTCTCGTCTCGTCTCGGCTCGGCTCGGCACGGCACGGCACGGCACGGCTCGGCTCGGCTCGTGGTCGAGGTCGAGGTCGAGGTCGAGGTCGAGGTCGAGGTCGTGGTCGTGGTCGTGGTCGTGGTCGTGGTCGTGGTCGTGGTCGTGGTCGTGGTCGTGGTCGTGGTCGTGGTCGTGGTCGTGGT